GGACGAGGGCGGGCCCGGAGCGCTCGCGGACGGCGGCCAGGCCGGCCCGCACGAGGGCAAGCGCTCGTACTCCATGGAGCACTTCCGCTGGGGCAAGCCGGTGGGCAAGAAGCGGCGCCCGGTGAAGGTGTACCCCAACGTGGCCGAGGATCAGGCCGCCGACGCCTTCCCGCTCGAGTTCAAGCGGGAGCTGGCCGGCGAGCGGCCCGAGCCCGCACGGGGCCCCGAAGACCTGGACGAGGCCGCGGCCGCCCTGGAGGACCACCTGGAGGACCGCCTGGAGGCGGTGTCGGCCGAGAAGAAGGACGACGGCCCGTACCGCATGGAGCACTTCCGCTGGGGCAGCCCGCCCAAGGACAAGCGTTACGGCGGCTTCATGGGCTCCGACAAAGGCCAGACGCCGCTGGTGACGCTGTTCAAAAACGCCATCATCAAGAACGCGCACAAGAAGGGCCAGTGAGCGAAGCGGCCGCGCGCCCCTCACCTTGCGGCCCCTGCACCCCGCCACCCCCAGGCCTGGCTGCGCTCCTCGCTGGGGAGGCGCCCGAGGCTGCCTGTAGATAGGAAATAAAACCTTTCAAATGTCACATCCGACTCCACTTTGAATGTCGTCCGGGCAAATAAGTAATGGGCGTAAAAGGTGACATAGATTGGAGGAAGGGCTGACGGGTTCCTATGTGAATCGAAAACATGAGAATAAAAAGTTAACACACACACACACACACTTCACGCTCTTCTACCCAAGGTCCAACACACACACACACACTCCACCCCTTCTACTCACGACCCAACACACAACACTCCACCCCCTTCCCTCCTTCTACCCACGACCCGGGGGACACTCCACCCCCTTCTAGTCACGGCCCAAGGATGGATCCTTCAGTAGTTTGGGAGGAGGATGACCCAGGGGAGTTCTCGGTCCGTCTCAACTGCCTTCTGAATGGCAAAGTCCAGATTCAAGTGTCTTGAGAAATGATCCATCTACTTCATAGACCAAGTCTAAGTACTTCAGGACTAGAAGCCAGGAGATGGGAGACAGGCAGAACCTCAGCAAAACAAACCCTCCCTCAAAGCAGTTGATTAGACCACTGACAACATAAACCGTTTAGGAGGAGCTAGAGGAGTGTGCAAATTCCACAGTTCACACAGATGTTAGCTCTCAGAACACTGCTGTCCACCTCCTAAAGCTATCCCGAGCCTCTTGTGACCCCGACAGGAGGAGCTGCCGTGCCAGGTGGCATCCTATGCAGGAAGAGTGTCAGTAACATGTAATAAAACCTGGGAGTTGTGTCCATAAAGTGGTGTTTGGACCTTAGAGCTGGGCATTCTGAAGAGTGCAGCCATGCAGGGAGGTGAATAGTGCACTCATAGATAGCTCCCCAAACAGGCAGGGAAGACAGTTGGACCAGGAGACAACTTGATGACTCTTCTTGTCACTACTGGTGTCCATATTCTGTGGTGATGAAGCCGCAGCTTTGTTCAGTCCCCACCCCTTGGCCTGGCAGGCCCTGCCCAAAATGGTGACCCACCATGATGTCCAGAATGAATCCACCAGCCTCTCATGCCCTTTGAGGGACAGCCATTGGGCTAGAGGTGGCAGAAGGGATCTGAGGCAACTGTTGTTGTTATGTGCCGTCTAGTCGCTTGGACTCATGGTGACCCTATGTACAACAGCCCTAAACTCCGCTCTGTCCTGTGCGAATCGCACTGTCTCTGACACTCCCATCCCAATTATCCCAGTCACTCAATCAATCTACCTCATAGAGGGCCTTCCTCTCCTGTGCTGTCCCTCCACCCTCCCAAGCATGATGTCCCTCTCTAAGGACCGGTCTCTCCTCACAACATGTCCAAAGTATGTTAGACGGAGCCTCAGAATCCTTGCCTCCAAGGAGCCACCCGGTTTAACCCTCTCCAGGACAAATCTGTTTGTTTTCCTAGCAGTCCATGGTATTCGCAATACTCTTCTCCAGCACCACAGCTCAAAGGCATCAATTCTCCTTCTATTCTCCTTGGTCATTGTCCAACTCTCTGATGCATAACAAGTGATTGTGAAGACCATGGCCTGTATCAGACGCACCTTAGTCTCCAGAGAGACACCATTGCTCTTCAGTACTTTGGAGAGGTCCCTAACAGCAGACTTTCCCATGGCAATGCGCCTTTTAATTTCCTGGCTGCTGGTGCCAAGACTGTTGACTACAGAGCCAAGCAAACTAAAGCTGTGTACAATCTCAATCTCTTCACCATCCATCCTGATGCTGCCAATGGGTCCAGTGGTGAGAATCTTTGTCTTCTTGACATTGAGCCTCAATCCATATTGTAGGCTGCAGTCCTTGACACTCTGCAGCAGGCGCTTCAGGTCCTCTTCAGTTTCAGCAAGCAGGGTTGTGTCATCCGCATAACGCAGATTGTTACTAAATCGTCCACCAATCTTGACCCCACATTTCTCCTCATAGAGCCCAGCCTCCTGGATAATCTTTTCTGCATATAGGTTGAAAAGGTATGGAGATAGGATGCATCCCTGGTGGACACCCTTCCCAATTTTGAACCATGCAGTGTTCCCTTGCTCTGTTCTGATGACTGCCTCCTGGTCCAAGTATAAGTTTCGCATTAGAAGGATCAAGTGTTCTGGGATTCCCATTATTCTCAGAGTCAGCCACAGTTTGTTATAATCCACGCAGTCAAATGCCTTTGCATAGTCAATGAAAAGATAGACATTCCTCTGGTATTCCCTGCTTTCAGCCAAGATCCATCTAACATCAGCTACAATATCCCTAGTACCACGACCCCTTCTAAGCCCAGCCTGGACTTCTGGTAGTTCTCTGTTGATGTGCTGTTCCAGTCATTTTTGGATAATCTTCAGTAAAATCTTGCTTGCATGTGAAATCAGTGAGATTGTTCTGTAGTTTCCACATTCTGTTGGGTTGCCTTTCTTTGGGATAGGAACAAATATCGATCTCTTCCAGTCAGTTGGCCAAGTGGTTGTTCTCCAGATTTCTTGGCACAACTTGGTGAGCACGTCCAGGGCAGCATCTGTTAACTGAAATATGTCAATTGGTATACCATCTATTCCTGGACCAAAGCTAGGAAAAGCCCCATTAGCTGTCCACTTGTTATTTCCTTGGTATTGATACCAAACTGACTTTCCCAAATAAAATATGAAGGATGAGGAATGTAACACCTCCTTAATGGTCACTTTTTCAACCTTCTTCCAAAGAGGGTTGAAGGTGGGGCTGAGGAGGGAGAAGACACTTCACCAACAGATAAGTCAAAGGAGGGTTCCTACAGAGGTGACCACAGGGATCTCAGGGTCTCCCTAACTCCTGTCCAGCTCCCAAAACCAACTGCATGTGAGTTGGAGCTATGCCCCAGGTCTGCCTGGGCTATGAGGTGGGAGACGTGGCAATGCCTCCCTGGATCACAGGCCTGTGTGACCTTGGGCCACTCTCTAAGTCTCTTCTGGATTTAGTTCTCTCAGTTACTGTCTCCCTTCCTAGTGTGAGGATCATTGTCAAGATTAAATAAGAAAATGGATGTAATCATTTTTTTGTCACTGGAAAGCTAAAGGTGAGAGCTGAGGGTTGGTATGGGTTAAATTTGGCTGCACTCCCAGATATTCTCTCCCTTATACAAGCTTTACCCCCACATAGCCATCCATGATGACATACACATCGGTGTGAATACAGAACAATATACACAGATGCAGAGTTCCGATGCTCCTTTTTTAAGGTCCACGTCTTACGACGTGTGGTGTCTCAGCTCCTTCCTTCGCATCACTTCTGCTTCTCTTCACTGTCTGCTCCCTGCTTAGACTTCAGCTCTCACACAGCAGCTTCCTGCCAGATGTCCTTGCCCTGACTGCTCTCCTCCTCACCCTGTCCTACACAAATTCTTTGGTTAATGCCTGTGAAATCTTGCTTTCCCTGTGATACTCCTTGGTTCAAAAGCCAAATACAGCATCTGGTCAATTTTCCATCAGTCCCCAAGTCTTGGTGATCCGGTGGCCTAGTCAACTGGGTGTTGCACTGCCAGCTCAGAAGCAGTGCCCCTCTGGTTGTTTGAATCCCTCATTCACTCTGTGGGAGACATGTGAGCAATCTCCCCTGTGATTGACAGCCTCTGAACACCCACAGGAGTGTCAGCTCAGAGGGAATTCTGACTCAATGGCAATGAGTTTGAGGTGTTTTTGTTTTTTAAAATAACAATTAACATATTTCAAATGACAAATGCAACAGTGGATATGCTCATCAGTCTATGGCAGCAAATTTGGAGGACAGTTGTCCTGGGTGTCTGACTGGAAGGGATCCATGTGTATTCCTGTTCCCAAGGAAGGTGATCCAACAGAATGTGGAAGTTACAGAACAATATCATTATATTATGTGCAAACAAATTCTGCTGAAGGTCATTGAAAAAATGACTAGAACAGTACATTGACAAGCAACTCCCAGAAGTTCAAGTAGGATTTAGAAGAGGCCATGGCATCAGGGATATCATTGCTGATGTCAGATGGATCCTGACTGAAAGCAAATAATACTACAAGAATGCCTATTTATACTTCATTGACTATGCAAAGGAATTTGTGTGGATCACAACAAATTATGACTAACATTGAGAAGAATAGGAATTGTTAATTTCCATTAAGACTTAATGGACACTTAATTGTGCTCATGCAAAACCTATATCTAGATCAATAGGCTGCTGTGCAAACAGATCAAAGGAACACTGCATGGTTTAAAATGAGGAAAAGTGTGCATTAGGGTTGTATCCTTTCTCTAAACCTATTTGATATGTATGCTGAGCATATTCAAGAAGCTGGACTCTGAAGAAGAATGTGGCATCAGGATTAGAGAAAGACTCATCAATAATCTTAATTTTGATGACAACACACACTTGCTTGCTAAAAGGGAGAAGAAATTGAAGCATTTGTTGTAGAAGGTTAAACACTGCAGCTTTCACTATGGAATTGCATCTCAATGTCAAGAAACAAAAATCTTCACCACTGGACTGATAGGCAACATCATGATAGATGGAAAAAAGATTGAGACTGTCTAGGACTTAATCTTATTTGGATCCACTTGGTACCAGCAGTCAGGAGACTAGGAGACATCTGGCACATGGGAAGTCTGTAGTCAGGGACCTCTCCAAATTATTGAGAGCAATGATGTCAATTTGAGAACTAAGGTGAATCTAATTCAGGTCTTGCTATGTATCTGAGAGCTGGACTGATAGAAAAGATGGATGACAGAAGAAACTGATGCCTTTGAACTGTGGTATTGGAGAAGAGTGCAAATATCCCATGGACTGCCAAAAGAATAAACAGGTAAGTCTTGGAAAAGGTGCAGCCAGAGGTTCTTTGGAGGCAAGGATGATGAAGCTTCATGTCACATACTTTGGGCATGTTGCTAAGACAGGCTATTCGTTGGAGAAGGGACATCAAGCTTGGAAAGGTAGAAGGACAGTGAA